GTAGCCAAGGTTTAGGTTTTGAAATGTGTAATGAGAAAAGCCAAAATTATTTTGTTTTAATTTGAAAATCTTACTTAGTTGGAAGTGCCATGTCTCACTTTGACGTGTATATTTTGATGATTATGGAGAACAATGAAGCACCAAACCACAAATAACAACAAAATAGAGAGATTTTTGTTACCAAACTTCAAGAATAGCTACAATAATTGGTTTTTATACATTATTGATGTTTATCAATGTTTAGACTATTTAATACGGGCGTTGTGGCCATATTACCTGCCTGGCCATAATGCCTGCCTTTACCCTATCTTATAGCTAAGAGGTACATTGCGAGAATGTAATGATACGAGGAGAAATGAATCTTATTGTAATGATCTGTGATGTTTAAAATGTTCAGGGGGCACTATGCAGACCGAGGAAGTCGTGCCGCGTACTCAGTCCATTGGCATAGACAGTGGTCTCACCGACGGCGCTGGTTTGCAGCATCATTTGCATCACTCGGCACATTTACGTTGCCCGCTATCGCCTCTGATCCACATGGCCGTCAAGCAGGAGCCTCAGGAGGAGGAAGAACGAAGTCGCGACGCTAGCACACTGAGGTGAATTGCGAACATCTCTTTAAGACTCGTGAGACTCTCCTGGATGCACATAAAGAACAAAATTTCGCTGGCGCAGCATTTTACGTTGGTGTAACAAATGCCATTAATTACTATTCACTATATTAATTACTACAGACAGCAAACAGATTCGTTGGAAACATTAATATTGATAAATAATTTTGCTGAATCTACAAATTGTTTTACTGCAATGAAAAGATACATTTCGTCGAAATAGATTCTTTTTCGTTGTAGCGGGAAATTAAGTTTACTTTTTTGTGAACAATATTGCTTGACAAAAGAACTTTTATAAGAACTAGACAATATAAAGCAATTATGATAAGAACGTTTTCTTTTTTAATTGAATCTATAACAGATATTAACACCGGTAGCAAAATCTCTTCTTTTTCAGTGCATTTATATCACCTACATCATTAATCAGTTATCAAATCGATAAATCGAGTTAAATCACAAAGGGAGCTCTATCTTTTTTTATAATTTTGGATATACTGTATCTTTTTCCATAGTTGGAAATTGATAAAGAAAATAATATATCAGAACTGACGCAAGTACGGGTAAACGAAAGTCTCTTTTGTCGCTTTTGATAGCCCGCAAGTGGATGTAAGTAACGTCGCGGGTTTGGTGGACAGCAAGCATGGACAGCAAGTTGGTAATCAAGTTCAGGGATTGGAGGAAAATCCGACGTTAACTACTCGAGACTCTAGCAACCGAGGACGAAGCAGGTGATCTATTTGTATTTATAACATGTTTGAAATCGGAACACTTTTGTCCTTTTAGATTAGATACATTTCGTACGACGCGTTTAAAGAGCGTGATGAGTATGTCTCGCGACGGCTTACATTGTCAGGTAGCGCGATTCGCGCGGCAGCGACGCGGCTCGGGTTATCTCTTATCGCTTTTTTTTCGTCATGTCTCTAACGATGTCTTTAACGTAAAACCGGCCGATGTCCAGGAAAGTGCTTTAAGTGCGGTCGTCGCGTCGACAAGAAAGATAGGCGCCAGGAAACTGGTTCGTGCCGAGCGAGTCTTCTAAAGCGATGCGTGTACGCACGAGTGCGCGAGGAAAAAAAATTTGCAGATATACGTCAGCGAGCGCGCGTCGCGAGAGAGTCGATTACCGTTATTATTGAATTTCATTAAACGGCCCGGTCGCGACTAGAGAAGAAGAAGAAGACGCGCGACACACACGTACGCTCTCTGCATACGAGCGAAGGCGCCATACCGCGCGACACAAAACGCTATTAAGGTGTGGCTCGGAATGCAGTCGCTGGCGTTAATGAAAGAGCGATATCACCGACACATAACAGCCACAACTGCACCCTAGTTTAAATATATTTCTGCTCAAATAATGTTTCGACATAACATCGGTGGATGAAACCGTCAATAAGAGTATACATTCTTTATTGCCCACCCTTCACTTTGACAGATAATAATAAGTTGATTGCAAATCTTTTGTTAAAAAATATTTTTTCATTTTACTTAAATTTCTCACATATTTTAATTCGTTGAAACAATGTTAGATTAAAGTCAGACTTGTTGATTTTTAACAAGCAATTGCATAATATACAAAGAAATGCAAAGTTAGAAGAAACTTATTAACTCTTGTTAATTTTCTTGACGCTCGGTCAGTATAACTTTTGTCGCAGAAATGCTCTACAATGAAAGGAAACGCAAATGGTCAACCGGTATCTGTTACAAGTACAGTCGAACTGTGAAATTTTGTATATTCCAGTCGTGGCCGCAGGAAATCACGATGGAAGCTCAAGTTCCACCATCAAGCGTTACCGCCGGAATACTTGGATCACTACGAAGCATCACTGACCCAAGAAAATCTCAATTCGTCGCCACCACGCATTATCGAGCCAGCAGCGTCCAGTCCAGCGCCGACGAACTCGACGTCCACCCCAAGTCCCGTCGCTGACGTTCACGGCTGGTTGCAGCGAATCGCGGCGATGCAACAGGAGCTATGTCCACAGATCGCGCCAACGACCCTTGGCCATAATCAAGTTACCAGTACTAGGAGATCCGTCATCACGTCCGTGTCTTCGCAGGCTTGTACGACTTATCCCAGTCATCACATCCAGCAGACACAGTCGCAAACGTCCAGCAGGCCCCCCATGAAATATTCCGACCTGCCATATATGGGTGAAATCACCCTCGACAACAGTAAACCCAGACGTGGCCGGAAACCGAAGAAGGCCGACATATGTCATTTGATTTACAAAAATTATGGCACGATACTGCCGGGCACGCCTGGCCACGAGGAGAGAAGACTGTCGCCCCGGGATAAGCCGGACCCGAGGGAACGTGTGTCGCCTCAAGTACCTTTCCAAAGGACCGACGTTCAGAACAGAATTAGCAGCTTGCTCGAAAAACGGCTGACTCAAGAGACTCGGCGGAGCTTCGCGTTGTCGGAGAATTCGAGGGAGCAGGACGAACCACTGAATCTCTGCATCAGGGATCTCAATCAGCTCAAGATTCGACTATTGCGGAAACACGGGAACGTGTACGAGTCCGGCCAGGTGAAAAGCGAAACGTCTAGCGACGGTGAAGAAGTGGAATGTCTGGGAACGGGCTTCTTGTCCGAACCAATGAATTACCCGGAGCCAGTTACTCATCGGTCGAACAACAGTTTCGTCAATCATAATAACAATGTGATCGATCCTATGATCAATCACAATTCCGGCTTTGTGTACTGGCCGAATGCCGGCGTGTTTATTCATCCAATGGCGTTGCAGTCCCAGTTGCTATATTATCAAAAAGTCGCCCAAAGTGACAAGTGCCCGCAGCCGACAACGGATCAACCGCCGAGGGAGCAAAAGATCGTGCCTAAATCGATATACTCAATGATGGAAACGAAGAATGCGGCTCAAGTGTCAGCGCTATCTACAGCTCAAGCGATACCAGTATCAACTGCCACGTCCACTTCGCCAAGACCCAAGAGGAATGCGCCTCTAAATCAACAGCAGAGTCAACCAACTAAACGGAAGCGCTCCGCCATATTTATACCACCAATGCCAACCGAGAACAACAATAATCCAGCGACAGAAGTGAGCATATGTAAGTTCAAATTTACCGGTGGCGCCAAACCAAGTTTACAAGAGAAGAAGAGCCTCTCTGTGGACTCGGGTGGCAATTTTCGCTATTACAGCGGAACCGGTGATAAGAGCATGCGCGGGTACGAGTTCTTTCCCAGAGAGGCTCTCCAGCAACCGGCAGATCAATCTGGCACCACTTCCGCCGCTGGGGCCTTTCTGAATGCCGCCGGTGAGAGGATCCAACCACCAACGACATGTCAGAGAAGTCCGGTCGGCCAGGACGACGGCCGGCGAAAGAGGAAAACGAGAAAATCCCTGCAGCGTGAAAAGTTGGAGCAGACTTTTAAGGAAAAGGGTTTCCTCATTCAGACGCAACAGCTGGAATCTGCGGAGGGTGCTACATATTGCAAGTTCCGACAGCTCAGAAAATTCACCAGATATCTGTTTAGAAGTTGGAAAGACTATTTGCCCGGTAACGTACGCGAATTGAGCGGTTGTGGTAGCGGCGCCCCCGTTGCTATAGATAGCGACGTGGCTGACGTTGAAGTCGATGGTGACGCCGCTCTCGTTCCCTCGCCACTTCCCCGTGGTAATTTGCTAGACGTGCCCAACAGTTTTGTGGAGGATCATCGGACTTTACCCCTCACGTGAGGCCTAACATTCGTGACGAACAAAAGTCGTGACACGATGCGATTCCTCGGTTCTTCATTTCCTTCTTTGCTCAATTTTTTTGCCTGCATTCATAAATTCGCCAAAAAATTTTTCATGTGAAAATCACACATTTTTCCTAAACTCATATTTTAAAAAAGCAAAAATCGTGTTTCAAACCTAGATAACAGTGAATAGTTGTATGAAGAAGTCGATCTTTATTTAATTTCTTCATTTATTCTAACTATTCAATTAATCTCAACTACTAATTCCTTTAATAATTTTCATTTTTGACATCCTGGATTTAAGGAGATTGAAAGGCTCTTCAATATCTTAACATTCAAAGATTAACAGCCTTTAATTTTCCAAATCGAAACCCCGTTAAATAACAGCGATATAAAAATCTTATAGGACATTAATTTAAATCCGATACGTAATTGTCAAATTATATGTTATATAAAATCGTATCGTACATAAGTAATAACTTTTAAACACTTGTCATTTAAAAACCATAATATTACAGTGTCAACTTTGTTAGAATTTTCTCCAAATGGCTTCAGACATCTGTCGTTAATTTATTATGATAAAAATTTTGGCCACTATAATATCGTGTCACGACGTGTCTCGCGAGAATAAGGTAAACTCGATCATAGCTTAGTGCCAAAGATGAGAGACTGGAATGTACATAAAATCACAATAGAGAACGGGTTAACCAAAGAGTGATTTTGCTCTCGCCATACTGGAATTAGAATTGTGCGATGGTAATTCGTTTTTAGAGATTATATCGGACTGCGATGCATTTGGGATGGTATCAGAGTGAGACTTGTAATGAGATACCGTCGTAACTTTCTAAGCGAAATATCATCTCTAACGAAATCTAGTCGTATTTATACTCTTTTTAAATTGTAAACATGGTTTTTTGTTTTGTGTATGATGAACATTTATGTGGAGCTATACTGTGTGCACGATAATAGTTCAGATAAGATATGACAAAGAAACGCGAGATTGTATGCAACAATCGACGTTGTGCACAATTAGCTCGTTTCTTCGATTCATTTCTTCGTTTACGCACATTGGGGCAAATATTTGGATACTTCGGCCAATATATTTATAAAAATGTGATCTGTATACTAAATGCAACAATGGAGGTAAGTACAAAAATTACTTTTACAGATTGGAATCTTTCATCTTTTCTTCTTTTCCGTTAATGCTATTGCTATTTCGCACTCAAAACGTTTGGTAGTATTTTATCAGACTTATTATTGTACGTATGTGTGTAAGCTGTTCAAAACGGAATTTAAAATCAATGTAATTTTATTAGTTTTATCTTCGATACCACATAAAAATATTTTTTTATATTAATCGTGGCGATTCCATTATTAAGAAAAGCATAGAACGTGTTATACGCTTGTTGAAAGTTTACAGCCCATCAATATCTTACACGAGCATTCAATTTCTGGCCCCAAGTGCTAAAGACGCGATGTTTCATTGAATATCTCGTCATGCCTATGCTCCATTAAGCAAGATAACAAGTTGAAAACCGTCCTATACTAGTGCTGTTGTTCTCCTTCGTGCGGCGACAAATAAAATTATTTTATACTTATGCTCATTGTAACGAGAAATCCTTATAGTCGGTAATAATAAAACAAATTGTTATTGATATGGCGTACGGTGCGTATTCACCAACATTATTTTTCACATTGATTTTGATAGCATCAATAAAAAGTATAATTGGATTATATATGTATGTAGAAAATACAAAAATCCATACGTATATAAACTTCAATGGTAACAAATACTATTATCGGGAAGAAAGCTGTTATTTCACAGTTACAATACTTTCTATTGGTGCGATCAATTTGGTATTTTCCTTCTCGTCCCATCAAAGGGATGAGGTAACCTTTTATGAAAGCTCCATGTTGCAGGAATCTCGCTCAGTCATAAAGCGTTGTGCGCGTCGAGAAAAGGTTGCGCCGTCGAAATGAAATTCAACATGCGCAAGATGAATTTTATGAACGACTCCGGCCGTAGCGAGATACCGCGTTCATTAACGAGCGCCCATGCTCATGAATATTGCATTTGTGATTTTTTACCAAATTCGCATTTCATTTAGAAAAAAAAGTCGCTTTATGAGGAATCTTAATTAAAACCTTTGAAGTACTTCTTCCCGTTCGGCTTCATTGATGCGGTACCAGCGGTGGAACGTTGCAATCGCGGATCACGTTTGTGAGCTCGCTGCACAGGGCGGAGAAAGGGACGCACATCGGCCACACGATACAACATACACACATATACGTATGTACAAGGTGTCGCGCACAACTGGCGACTGTAATTCAAACAGCAGATACTTTGTCTAAAAATCTATGTTTTGTTAAAGGAGTCGTTTCAAGGAAAGTTTATAGTTAATTACCAATCAAATAAATTAACTAAAAGAACTTGGCAGCTAATTAACAATTGAATTTCTGCGCGAATTTTCGTTGATGTAATGATTATTGACAATATTTTTTCGTTTGTCACAAGATATGCAGTCTACTCATACTAATTTTGTTACGAGATATGCGGCCATTCGTATTAACATAATCAATGAGAGAATCTGTCGTTGAAATGAAGTTGTGGGACACCCTGTATATATGCACTAGCCGGACACATAACAAGCACAGCATCCACCGGTTAGTCCCTCCGGAGTGCGTACAGCCACCCATTCATGCATACGGCCATTCATATGTCGGTCCCGCTCACCTTGAAAGCTTTTTATCATCGGCCGATGTATCTGTGCGATGAACGCGCATACACACGCATTTACACACGTGCGTGCATTCATGTATATATAATTATATATATGTGTGTGTGTTTGAAAAAAAGAAAAATACTCGCATTCTTTGCAGAGGTGATTGTCACGTGGAAAATTTTCGTTCATTATTTTTGCACCCAATGAAAAAAAATCTTTCTTCTAGATTTGTTAAGGAAATATGCGGCACCGTCCTCATGTTTTAAAATAGAACGATATATGCGACGAGAAGAAATCATATAAAATGGAGATTTTCATGTCTCGTCAGTGTCGCAATTGTTACCAATTGCAAAGGGAGGAGGGAACAGAGCGTTCATTGCTTCGTCGTCGGGAGAGACACAATGCCTGCAAGTTTCCTAATACGGACACGGGCGTGATGCATGCCGAAAAAAAGAGGAATTTTGGCAAGCACGGGGAGAAACCTGAGAAGAAATGGGAAGGATGCGCGTTAGATTCGGTGTAAAAATTTTATAGCCGCATACAGAAGGATCGTGTGTTATTAAATTTAAGAACGCATAATTATATCGTGCAAATGTGCTCAATACGATTTAAATCCGCGAGATTTGTATCGAATTTTCATTTTTTTTTTCTTGCTCTCTCGCGCGCCTACGCGCTCTATCTCTCCTCTTACACATGACTGCAAGTTTCCTAATATAGTCTCGGCATATGCTTCGATGAAAAAAGACGATGTTGCTCACCACCGAGTGCCCGGCAAACTGGTTGCCATCTCGTATCCGGAAAAGACAGGCGAACTACGTGTGTAATGTTAAAATCGCGAAACACTTGACAACCTTCAGAGAAAACATTAATAATCTTGATGGAGGCAAATTTACTTAAACACATTGTTGCGCGTTGTGATCTCTGTCAAAAATTGATAATTTTGCTTTAGCATTCGGAAGAAAAGTGTATGAAAATTAAAAAAAAAGAACTTTATTTACTATATAAGGCTGGGATTTTCTCAAATATTGTATGTGAAATATAATTTCTATTCTATTCTATCATGTTTAATGTATAGATTCCATATAATTTCTTCTCACCGTGTTTTAAATCTAAAAGTACCTCAATTGAATATTTTTTATAATAAAATTGCAAACTCTACTTGCGAGCTTTGCTCTTTATTAGTTTCTTTGTTAACGAAAGAAATATTTTCTTGCAGAAAAAATTATCAGTAACTAAAAGAATTAAGATTAACAGAAAGATATTAAGTTGTTTTCTTATCAATTTGCAATTCTTTTCGTGCAACGGATTAAATTGCGTTTGCTACAAAGCGCAAGGTAAGTAAACAGGATCGGGTTAGTCCCCGTCGTTTCTAGAGGGGCCAGTTAAAGCGAAGGAAGACGGGTTCGCGGTGGTCTACGGACAGGTTCGCTCGCGAAAAACTTCAATTTGTCTCGCGCGGGCTTGTATCGTGCCAGGATCTGCTTGCATCGGATAATCCGTGCGCAAATTAAACTTGTATATAACGAAAATTGTATTTCATGAAACAGTCATTAGAACAATTAAAATTAACGCTTTTCTACAGAACTTCTTTCCTATAGGAGCCATACAATTAATACGAGCGATTACGCAATTGATACAATTAACAGCATTCCTGCTCGTCCATTGCCTTCTGTCTGATGAAAGAACCGCAGGTAGAGCGGTTCTTTCATCAGACGTGCGATTTCGCGCAAGAACGACTTCATGAATGAACCGCGACGCGATCCCGGCAAGATCGCTTTCGCGCTCAGACTGGACAATGCAGACGGAATACCCGATTGTTTCTAAGCAGCCCGTAACCGTTTCAATGTCGGAGATAAAAAGGGGACGCCACCGGAAATTATTATTCTCGATAAGAAATTTAATACAAAGAAAATGTCGCTTATGGCCAAGCAACTAAATTAGAAATTTGTGACATCTTAATATGCACTTTAAGTATTAAAATCTATAATGTCTCAAATTTGTCGATGGATTTTAAATTAATTTTCTCAAAAATTTGTTTCTTAGGTGTCTGTAGTCTTCGAAACATTAACAACTAAAAATAGAGAAAACTTTTGACATATTAAATCTCAAAACAAAAGATAGAAATCACAATTATATAGGGGAACCCGGGGCATAACGGGAACGCTAAGGTTAAAATTAATTTTAAACAAAATGAAAATACATAAATGAATTATTTTTTTACGAAAATATTCTTTGAAATGTCTACTATAAGAAAAAAAATGGTTTTACTGTGAAAGAATAGTTTAAAAGGACGAAATTTTTATTTTATTGAGACCATGACTTAATCTGATTATCATTTTATGCGGGGCATAATGGGACTCCTCACAAAACTTATATAAGTATTTCTTATACATTAATATTTAAAACTTATTAAAAATGATTTTTTAAATACGCAATAAATATACTAATGTAGTATTGCATTTTAATAATAATTATTATTTATTGATAGCACTTGTTATCACATCTACATGAAACATTTTAAGAACAGTAGGTACAAATATGTGTAATATCCTCATTGTTGCTCATTGTTCCTTTCAATGTTGCTGTTAATTTTCAATTTTTTGTTGGGACACGTTCCGTTAACTTAACACTTGCGAGTCAACTAATAAGAAGAGGTTATCTATTGTACCATTATGCCCCACGGCCTAATGTCCCGTTATGCCCCCAAATGTACCTTTACACTAAATAAATACAAAATATTGATAATCAATATCTGTGCAGAAATACTTTACTAAAGTGACTAGAAAAGATTGTTTAATAGCGTAAAATTACTTATGGTAATAAAAAATAGAATTTTATTATTGTTACCTCATGCTTATCTATCAACGAAATTATAAGCGAGTCACGGAGAGTGCAGCGAACGCATTAAAAAATTTATAGCATTTTTCAGTTAAAAATAACATGACAACTGATAACAGCATGCGATAAGGATCATCTAATAGCAATAATTGCAAAATATTTCAATACATAACAGCACTTCTGTAAAAAGTTATAGATCATATCCCATTATGCCCCGCTGTTCCGTTATGCCCCAGGTTCCCCTATTCACTCGACTTAAAAAAAATTCTATAAAATGATTGAGACACATTTATCAAAAATGATCTCTAAATTAACGTTAGGCTATTTCGAATTTTTGTTTATTTTATATAGGTACACCTGTTAAAGGAAATGAAAAATCGAGTTTCTAATTTCAAAGTATTCAGACTTTATCGCGTCCCCTCAATCTATAGTATATCACAATGACAATTCGATATTAAAATATGAAACGTGGACATGAGATATCTGAAATATCCCAAAGCCTAATAAACAGTTGAACATGAAATTTGACTCTTGGAAATGTCTAGTATGAATTCAGTATCGCGAAACTAACCGTTCTCGATACGTTTCATTGTATTACGCTCAGCACCAGCTGGGCCAGGTTTCTTGTCCACTGCCGACAGCTGCGACGAAAACGAAAAATCTGATTTGGACGAAAGTAAGAACGAGCGAGCAACAGGGCGGTGTGTTGGACGGAAGGATGAAAGATAAAGAAGGGAAAGAGAGGAATCGCGACTGGACGAGCAACTGACCGGATGTTAGACGCAAGAAACGCATAACTATCTCATGAACATCCCTTCTCTCTCCATCAATCTGTTTGTCAGTTACATTTCAACAGTTTTTAAAAGAACCTCTCAAATTTAAATCGATCGAAATATTGCAAAGTATGAAAATAATTCAATAATAGATCTCATGATAACAACGTATGATGAACGTCTTTCTGAAATAACGATATCTATAACAGTTTCTACGATACACTTTCTGTGTACCTACACATTTTAGTTTTATATTCTTAAAATAAAATCTTTTAGATAAAATGAATTCTATCGGATTTATACTTTAGTTATAGTGATTTTTGTATTT